GTTTTCAAGAACAGATTACATAAAAATCTGTCAAGGATGGTTTTTGCATGTCTACGTGATCTTTCCTCTTTGTAGGAGGATGGCCTAGTTCAGTGGTTCTCAAACTTTTTTGTACCAGGGCTCATTTGTAAACATCAATGGCCAGTCCCAACCCACAGCCCCCTGACCCTGCTGGTGTCCCTCACTCCCCACCCACAGCCCCCTGGCCTTGCCAGTTCCCCTCAATCCCCATCCACAGTCCCCTGGCCTTGCCGGTGCCCCTCACTTCCAAACCACAGCCTCCTGGCCTTGCCAGTACCCTTCAATCCCAAGCCACAGACCCTTGGCTCTGCTGGTGCTTTACCCCTTGACCCATAGTCCCCTGCCCCTCTGGGCCATGCTGGTGCTCCTCACTCCCAACCCACAGTCCCCTGTGCCCCACCCCAGCCCTGCCAGAGGGGACCCCCAGCTGCCCCCATCCCACTCAGGCTGGAGCATGATGGCTGCAGTGGCTCTGGCTCATGTGGGCAGCAGTGGAGCAAGTCCAGCCCTGGCATGGGCTGGAGGGAGGAGGAGGGGAGACCTATGGCACCCCCCCATGCCCTGAGCTGGGGTTTCCATGCCATGCCAGGCAGCCTGGTCATGGCTTCACTTGCCCCCTGAGCGGTATCTCCCAGGCGCCCCACACCTGTGAGTATGGGCTCTGGCCCCGGTGCTGCCAGCCCAGCCATGCAGCTCCCTGCTGCCCCCAAAGGACCCACCACTACCTTCTTCCCCCGCTGGAGGGGCAGGTGCCTTCCCCTCCATCCCATCTTCCCTGACACAGCCTCAGCGCCCAGCCACCTTCCCCCAGTGCTGACAGGCAGTTGCCCCCCACACACCCCCATCTCCTTCACACACACCAACACGCGCGCGCACACACACCCAGATGGTCCCCAAGCCCTAGACCTCCAACCCCGACACCCCATAGACTTACATGTATCTAGCTGCTGGGGCTGTTCCCACAACCCTGCCTGGCTGCATGCCAGCCACATGCATGTGTGTACAGACACACATGCACCTGCTGCCTCCAATTGCCCTGAGCAACTCCTTGCCAGATGCAATGTTGCCAGCCTGCAAAGGGAAACCCATGCTTTCCCACATTTTTCTGGGACTTGCACACAACCCTTTCAAATATTCTTTCAACCCACTTTTGAGTCTCAAGGTATGGGTTGAGAAACAAACATTGCCCTAGGTGATCTCGTGTCTTGATCCTTCCAGCCCTACATTTCTATGATTTCTGTGTCTTGTGCCCAGTTCTGACAGATAGCTGGAATATACTGTTGTCTAGCTTTAGCTTTCATTCATGCATGCGTAGACAGTTTTCAGTGTGAATTCAGTGGGCACATCCACATGAGATGCTTTACTCAAGATTAGAGCAAATTACTGTGCAGTAAGCATCACCATCTACACGTGCAGACACTTACTGTACAGTAATTTGCTCTAATCTTAAGTAAATTTGCTACCTGTAAATACAAGTAGCTGGGGTCATCTACAAGTAGCTGGGGTCATCTAGACCCGCCCCTCTTTCCTGCCTATGCAGGGGGTCGGACTCGATGATCTATTGAGGTCCCTTCCGACCCTAACATCTATGAATCTATTTACTCAAGAGTAATTGCTGCACAGTACAGCATGTGTAGACAGCTGACCAGGAGCAAATTTGTTCCTGGTCAGCCAGGAGATTGCTCCCTGCCCCCGGGAGCTGCCTGCTATTGGGATGGGCTCTGTCACTGGAGTCTGGGTGGGGAAAACGTCCTTTGCCCTGGCAGCAGGGAGCTCCCAGCCCCTGCTCCACAATTGTAGAGCAGGGGCTGGGAGCTCCCTGCTGCTAGGGCAGAGGAACATTGTTCTCACGAGTGGTGGAGCCCACTCTAGCAGCAGGCAGTCTCCCAGTCCAGCAGCAGCAATCTCCTAGCCCCCACCAGAAGACAGCTGTCTTTTGGCCCCATGCTCCCTGCCAGCCCCTGGGCTAGCACCCAGGGGGGGCCTAGATCTCCCCCTGGCTACTGCAGGAGCCCAGTGCAAGACTGGCAGGGATGGAAGCAGACTGCTGCCATGAGCAGCAAATCTGTTCCCACTTCCTGGCATGTGTAGATGCCTGCCAGGGGTGGATTTACTCTAGAGTAATTTACTCTAGAATAAACTCACCCTGAAGCATTTGCACATCTAGACACACCCAGAATCTCTCTCTAAAGCTGTTTTCTGCATGCTAGCCGTGACTTAAATAACCAAGGGCTAGCCAACATGCTGTAGCCTCACCTACTACTGGGCAACCATATTATAAAACCATATTGTAAAATCTGCCATCATGCTGCCATCATAGCCAACATCTGCATTAACCTCATATCTAGGAGAATTATTATCTGAGCACATATCCTAAGATTCATAGTTCCACAACTGTGTTGATCTGGGCTCTCACACATTCACAGGGTTATAGGTAGCTTGCCTACTCCTTCTGATGGTTGTAGTCAGAAAATAGTGTTGGCCTGGGAAATCCAGTCCCTGGCAGGACCCATCTTCATGTGTTTTGAAGTTGCCAATTGAAGTTACAGTACTTTCTTGCCCTACTAACTAGGACTCGTAGCTACTGGTTTTGATTAAACTAATGTGCCTTTGGACAAGCTGCTATCAAAATATGGAAGCATGTGCATCAAGGGCTAATTTTGGCATTTTGAAAGCAGAAACACAACAGTGGCAGTGGGCACAGAGGCATGAACGTAGCAGATGCTGTATTTCCCAACAGATACTCTTCCTCTCTTGCAGACTGATTCTGAAGAAGAGCAGTGTCATGATGGAAAATCAGTTATATAAGACTTCCTAATGCCGTGTTGTGGCCAAAACAGCTAATGTGATCTTTGGACACATAAACAGGAGAATACAGAGTAAAAGCAGAGAGATTTCATAACCTCTGTATTTGGCACTGATGCAACTGCCACCAGAATATCATGCCTACTAGTTCAGGTATCCACACTTAAAGAAGTATGTGGTGGAGGGCTTGAGGCAATCACTAGAATGATAAAAGGATCACAAAACATGCCATATGGTGAAAGGAACTCAAGTGAGCCCTCACCTCCTGAGATTCAGAGATCATACTTTCCAGCTCCTGCAATCTCTGGCTATCTTCACATGTGCCCCACCTATCCCCTCTCCCCGCTTCTATGAGCTACAACTGGTTCAGTACATAGCGAGCCTCTTTAAGGGAAAAAGAGTGCACCTTAAAGCCACATACAGAAAAGCAGAGACCCTTTCTTAAACAGAATGTATTGGTTAACTGAAGTGCAGCCACCTTGTGCAGAATGACTCGAGGCCAAACTTTAAACAGAATTCAGGTCAGCCAGAACCCTATACTGTCTTTGCCCAAGACTGTCTCTCAGTCCAGACTCACGGTGTTGTCAGCTGTGTATCTGGGAGTCTGTTTTTCAAGCCAGCTGGGGTTGCTTTGATGCTTATGCATTTCTGATTTAATTAGTCTATAAGGTGCAAATCTACCTTTCCTTTTTCCCTGGGTGCTAGAGACAGCAGAAGATCTCTAGATGATGGGGCCTGAATTCATGATGCTCCAGTGTTTCTTTGTATGCAGATTGGTCCATTATTATTTTTGATGACCCACTCTCTAGCAGCTGAGACTGCTGTTTACACAGACTGACCTTCATTCCCAGGTCTAGTATAGCACATTCTTTCTTGTATATTCTTTCCTCTTATATAATACCATACAGTCAAGTTAGGAAAACTTCAGCATCCACTATTAATCATAACAATATTACAAAACACAACATTGAAATGTTATAAAACAGGACCACATTCTGTTGCAACTTCTTAAAGAGAAGATTAAAGAGTAACTTGATAGCAATCTATAATTAATTACACAGGGAATAAAACATTGACAATGGGATCTTCAGACTAGCAAACAAATTTGTAGCAAAGGCTGGGAATTGAAGCTAGGCAGGTTCATATTTTTGAACACTGAGGGAAATTTTGAACACAGGGAAATTAACTATTGGAACAACTTACAAAGAATTGCAATTTAATATTTTAACTAAAAATTGGATTTTTCCCCCTCATGCTCTAGTGCAAACAAGAATTAGTTCAGAGAAGATCTATGCTTTATATCATGCATGAGGTCAGACTAGATGACCACAATGGTCTTGCCTCACCTTAGAATCTGTTAATGTTTGTTTATTGACTCTTTTGGACTGTATGATGTTTAACAACATGCATGTGATTGGGGCACTGTTGTGTACTTCTCGATATATAGGAGGATAAAGAGGAGTTCTTTGGATTAGGATGGCTTGCTGACGGGTCCCTTCAGGGTCTCATTACAGACCACTGCTAAATGTACATTGCAGCAGATATGTGTGTGTATTCTTGACCTGCATGGAAAATTCACTGGGGCTGTTTAATGGGATTATATAACATACTGGACAGTTGCTGGGAAATCCAATATAATGTTTATTTCTATATTACATACATATGCCTTCCTTTTTCTTTATTGAAGATGATTGACAATAAAAATGTAGACATACCAGCTGCCCTAACTTGGTTCACATGTGCACAAACATAAGACAAAACATAAAACCGTGTCACAAATAAGGAAGGTACCTACCATTTGTTGATCTTTTCTCTGTTCTCTGCATGTGAGTCATTCTAAGAGTAGCAGACACTGCAGACTGTTCGAGGTTTCATAGTTCATTTCCTGACTTGCTTACTCAATGCTAGTCACAAGTTGTTGAATATGGTAGTGTGGTATGGTAGTCCATGGTGCACATGGATCTACATGGGTGAGCAAACAGCTACCCTTTGTCATGCCACATCAGAGGAAAATCAGTGGCATTATAAAAGGTAGTAATGAATTCTGTCATGTTATGGCTGCAGATGTCTCACACCCTCCAGTCACCCTGGGCAGGCGCTCTGGGGGTTTGAGAGCCTCTCAAGCTCCTGGAAGACCTGCCCAGATTTCCCTGATTATAGAGAGGCAACCCAGGGAACCTTGGGGTGCCTCTGTGTAAGCACAGAAGTAGAGACCCACCATGGGATCTCCAGGGGCAGTCTTCATAAGGGTGGAAAGCCCATGTGGGTCCCAGGGTGGAGGCAGGGGACCTGAAGAATCCCTGGTGTCCTGTGCCTACACACTAGGACCCACTGATCCAGACCAGTTAGCCTTTCCCACCTTACCCAGACCTGCCCCTGGAGATCCCAAGGGCTGCCCTAGGTAAGTGTGGAAAGCCTGACTTTCTCTGTTTACACAGATCTGCCCCAAGAGAACTTGGGGACACATCTGGGTAAACAAGGAAACCCAGATTAGCCCCCTTTACCCAGATTCACCCCCAGGATCTCTGGGGACATGTTGGGGTAAACAGTAGGGCTATGTGAAATGGGCCCTATTTGATTCAGATTCAGATTTGGCCTGAATCGGGGACAGTGGTTCAATCCATTGATTCGGATCACTGTCCCCGATTCGATTTGTCCAAATCCGAATCTGAAGATTTGATGCTGATTCAGCGAATCAGCAATTTGGACACAGACACAGCTTTAAAAGTTTTTTTCTACATACCTTGAGGTAGCAGCGTGGCTCATGATCACTTCAGTGCTGGGGCACATGGAGCATCCCACAGGAGTGCAAGGGAGCTCTCCAGCGTGCTCGGCAGCAAACCCAGAAGTGGACCAGAAGTACTTCCAGTCCACTTCCAGGTCTGCCGGGGAGCATGCTGCCCCCAGCCCCTGCCTACCCAGCTCATCGATTGGCCTCAGGGGGACCCCAGGTGTCCCCCCAGACCCAGGAGGCACCAGTCGCCGAGCCAGGGGGGCGTGGCCCGCCCCCCGCATGCTCCCTGGAGGTCCTGGAAGTAGACAGGAAGTGCTTCTGGTCCACTTCCAGGTCTGCTGCTGAGCATGCTGGGGAGCTCCCCATGCTTCTGTGGGACACTGCATCTGCCCCAGCACCACAAGGTTCAGAGCTCCTGCTACCTAGAGGTACGTAGAAAAAACATTTAAAGCTGGATCTATGTCTGAATCCCCGAATCTGTCTGAATCTCTCCGAATCAATTCAGAGGGTTCCAAATCAATTTGGAGAGATTAAAGGGTCCTCTGATTTGATTCAGATTCGGTGATTCGGCCACCAAATTGGGCCGAATCGAATCAGGGACTGAAGCTTCACACAGCCCTAGTAAGCAGTGAATGTCAAGGTGGTCTCAGGGCTTGAGAGACCCAATACTGCTTGGGAATTACATTTTAAAGCCTTTTATTATCTCCTAGCCACCCTTGCATTGTTTAATAAATCTAAGGCTGTCTCGATTGGTCCTGACAGAAAAAGGAAAAACAAATCAATCAACACGTGTAGTAGAGTGGGGAAGCCCAGAGGGAGAAGTCCCCATTTTCCCTCTTCCCCTCAGCTGCCAGGAATCATGCTGTCTTGTCAGCACCAGGACAAGTGGCAGAGGCGTCTGATGCTAGGCAACAGGCCCTACAACCAGAGATGACCCTATATGCGGCCCAGGGCATATCAGCCTGTGCAGGGCCTGTGCAGGGGAGGGAGTGGTGAGTGGC